CATCCCGATGTTAAACTAATCAAGAGCTTTCATTTGAGTACCCACATCAGTTTTTCATATATTTTTCATATATACATATGTATATATATAATGTATATAAATATATGAAAAATTGATGTGGCTACTCAAATGAAAGGTCTTGATGAGTGTAACATCGGGATGAGCTTATATCTTTAAAAATGTCAATAGTTCACAAAATACAGGGTCATTTCTTAATTTTGCGCGTTCACTTAATAATATAGATTATAATAAAAATTTGTAAGAATTAATTTTAAAGCTTTTAATGTTAATAAAAATTTTATTTTAACCCAAAATCATTAATAAAAAGTTTCAATGTTAAAAAGTTTATCGATTTTTACACTGAAAAAAAATTTATTTGTAAAAAAATTTTCAAAGAAGATTAAAGTTGTTTTAGAAAAAATTTTCTTTATCTAAAAGAAAAATTTTTTGTATCAAATTTTCTTTATTTTTAAATTATTACTTTGACTTTTTTTTAATGCAATATTAATTTATTAGATATCTTGAAAATTGCAAATTGAACTTCAAAATTTTTGTAATCAATAAAAAAATTATATATTTAAAAAAAAAAAGGATAAGCAATAAATTTCTTTACCGACGACTTGACGAAATTTCAGTCATTAAATAAAAAAAAAATTATCACTTCATAAAAAAAAATATAGAAAGTCCTAAATTTATCAAAGATTAATTAACCAAAATTTTAAAGTAATTTACAAAAAAAAAATGAAGTTGATAAATTTAAAAAAGCGACTTCATTATTTTCTCCAAAATAAATTAATTCCAACTCCACCTAATTAATAAAAAAAAAAATAAAATAAAATAATACTTAAATGATACACAACAAGAATATTTGGGAGTGAGTTTGGTACAAAGTTCCCGGTGGTGGTGGCTGGTAATAAAAGCCGTTCTCTAACCGCGAGCACTCAGACAATCACGGCGAGCCGTGCGAGCTCCACTAAAGTTACTTAATTAAAATTAGCATTTAAATTCCATGTGGTGAGTTTATTTTATTTAGTCAAACACAACCCCCGCAGAAGATAAAAGTGTGTGATTTTTTATTTTTACAGTGAGTGTTAAACAAGTGAAAAATCTCTAGAGCTTTAAATTAAATTTATTTTAATTAAATTCATTTCATTTAAAAAAAAAAAAAAAAAAATCAGTATGTCCTGAGTGTCGCGGTGTCCTCGGAGTCCCAGCCCCGTTGAATGTTAATTAAGTTTGTTACCCGGGTGATTAACCTGTACTGCGAATAAAAATAAATTAAGGATAAGAAGTAAAGGACACTATTTGGATAAAATTACAATAAATTATAAATTATAAATAATAGTAAGATAGATCGTAAATAAATAATAAATACAACGCACTTATAAAATTAACAGTATAAGTTAAACTTTCGTTTTATTCCAACGAAAGTGAGTCTTTCGTGATATCGTGCTCGAGAAAGGTGAACCTTTTCCTCTTTCTCCGTTACTTCTATTCTATTATCCATCTTCGAAATATATTTCCGGTTTGGTGTTTACATACAATATTTCATTTTGTTAATCAGTAATCGTTAGCTTGATATTATCATTTCTCTTTTAATCTTCTTCTCCGTTGCATAACCATTTAAATTTCATAAATAAAATAATAAAAAAGTTTACTTAATTAATGAGAAAAAATTTTTAAGTAGACAGACAAATTTTTTATTGGAATAAATTTTATTTTAATTAAAAAGTTTAAGAAGTTTTCGATTTAATAAAATATTTGATTAAAATTATTTAATTCTTCAAATTTAAGATTTTTTTTAATCTAATTAGTTTTTTATCAATTTAAAATTCCAATGACTAAAATTTCTACAATGAAAAATAAAATTTGATTCTAGAGAAAAAAATTTTGAACCAAAAAAATTATTTTGAAGAATTTTGGATCGAAATTAAAAATTATTTTATAAAGTAAAATTTGTTTGAGTTAAAAAAAAATTTTTTATTTTCAAGAAATTTTCAATAAAAAATGATCAAATTCTTAAAAATTAATTTTTTGGTTCAAAATTATTTTTCTTAAATTAAAAAAATTTTTTTCTCAGTATAAAAAATATTGCATGAAAAAATTTTTGAGTTTAATATTTAACACTATTTTGTGTTGATTTAAGAATAAATATTAAATTTACACATAAAAGTGTTAAATATTTAATCCAAAAATTTTTTTGACGCAAAATTTTTTACCTCCATAAAAAAAAAATATATTTTGAAATATATAAAAAATCTATAAACAATATATAAATATTTTTCATTGGGGTACTATGTTAATAAATGACCAAATTTAATTAATTTCAGAGTAATATTATTAAAACTACCCAGAAACCATGAGGTTTGCATCAATAACAGCAATTGTGATTGCGATGTGCTTAATCACTCTAGTCAACTCTTTTCCTGCTTCCGAAACTCGGTTTCGCTCAAAGGTAACTCCAAAAATTGTAATAATATCTTAATTAAATCAGCAGACACGTAACTAATTTTTGATTTTATTAAAAAAATTAATTAGTGCAAGAAAAATTATTCAAAAATTGTCAGATGTCTGTTACTTTCATCGTACCACTAATTTATTCATAACTAACTGATTTATCAATTTATTTTATTATAATTTGATCTTATAGATAATTATTATTCATTAGTCCGGTTGGTTTTTGTTACAAAACCTTGTGCCCAATCGAATACAGTATTCGATTAATTTATAAATAATTTTGAAAGGAGTGAAAAGTTGGTTACTTTTTTGGTTAATTTTTCGGTTACTCAATACCGCACCGCATAATTATAAATATGTATTGTATAATATTTTATCCAACCAGATTACATTTATTGATTTATATTTATGTTTACACTCTCGGTGTTACACATACGAAATTAACCATAAGGTGGGCGAGGGTGAAACCCACTTGTTGCATTTTTGATTATAAACCGTAGGGCATTTAGCGAGATAAAATAAAATCCAAGACGCATTCCTTCGGACACTCTCATGTGGAAAGTAGTTAGCGTATGCTCACGTACCATTTCACGTGCAATGAGTACATAGTAGGGGTTATCTTAATGTTTCGTCTCTTTACTCTGGCGAGTTGTGTTGAGTTGAGTCTTTTCCCTTTCTGTTGATTTCATACACTCGACTGGTTTCTGCTTATAAATTTTATATTATTTTTTTTTCTGGGCTAGTACTATTCCATTTATTCATACGGGAGTTGTAATAAGTCATTTTAATTTCAAGTTTGAATTTATCACTTTTTAAGTATTCATTTTTGAAATTATTTTTGAATACTAATTTTGCATAAAAAAAAAAAATTAGTAAAATATTTCAGTCTTGTTTAAAATAATTGCACCTTTTAATTAAAGAAAAGGTTACTCTTTAATTAATTAATTAATTATAACTCTTAGATAGAGACTAAAAAATTTCCATTCAAGAATTTTAGCTGTCGACCGAGTATTTTATTTTTTTTTAAATAAGGGACACATTTATTAGACCCAAGTATTTTTTTTTTATTTGAATCCGGTAAAATTTATTACAATACACTGAAAAAAAATTTTTGAATCAAGAAAATAATTTTTAAGAGTTTCATTGGCTTAAATCAAGACGAAAAATTCTTAAATCAAGTAAAATTTACGCAAACCAACAAAAATTTCTTAGTTTAAGAATTTTTCTACACAGAAAAAAAAAACTTCTTGCACCAAAAAAATTTTAAGGAAAACAAAAATTATTTTAGAGCAAGAAGAAATTTTCTCAGCTCAAGAAACCTTGACTTTATTCAAGAAATCTTTCTTTATATTTTCTTCAGTCAAGAATTTTTTTTTAGTGTACTCAAATCAAGAAGAAGAATTTCTTCAAAACTATTTCCTTGATTCAAGTAAATTTTTTTTTTGTATATGGGTGATTTTTTAACAGTTTGATGTAATAATAGTCCAATTATAAATTATTTGAATGCTCCTAACCAAAATATTATACCTCTCTTAAATATTAAATGGTTTTTTAAAGTGATAATAAATTTTGAACTAATTTTATTTTCGTACAAATGGAAGATTCTCTGAAATGGAGGTAGACAATTTGCTAATTAGAACGTCGATATCAAATTCTGATTATTATTAAATAAAATTTTGAACAATAATTTAAAAACCAAGAAAAAAATTCTTGAAGCAATATAATCGGCTTTTTTCATGCTAGCTCTCTTAATTTAAGACGATTTTTCTTGAAAAGTCATTTTTTTTCTTTTTTTTAGTGTAGTTAATATTCATACTTTTTATCAATACAAAAATTATGACATATGATTATTATTGTTACAAATTATTACTCAAAATTAATTCCTAAATTGTTTAATTATATTTTATCAAACTAATATTAAAAAAATTTTTAAAACTTCTATTTGAAAAAATTCCTTATCATTTTCCTACGAATTATTTATAATTTATTTTCAATTAAGTAATTATCACAAAGAACATAAACAGCTCAATTAACCAATCATTTTTCATTAGATAAAAAACTAAAAATACAATAATACGTCTCTTAAAATATAAAACATAAATAAATAATCTTTCGTCCTGCAAAAACAAACATAAGTAACAAAATAAATGGCGTATGAAGAATAAAAATACGATGACTCAACTCGAACTCGGTTAATGACGGAAGTATTTATTCCCAGATCCGCATGGAGCGAGCTTGTGTTGCATATTGCATAAAAGCTGTGCGAATTACACCGCGACGATAATTCCCGGCCTTCACAGCGAGTATTTAAATCTCCCGATTTAATATAATCATCGTTTTGTCTCCCGTCCTTGTTTGGGTTAATAACACAAACACAACACATGAGCCTCACCATTAAGGTATCCGTGGGTATATTCTATAGTGTATACCATACCAAGATTAACTATTTTGTATTACTGATACACACCAACGCAATAAAAGTAAAAACACAACACACAAGATGAGTGGGATCATATTTATCAGTAGTAGTTTGACTTTGCACTTTCACTTTAAAACGGTTGCCTGCCAACTGGACACTTTCTTCGCTCGATCGATGCCCAATGGAAAGTACTAACCATCTCTATCTCTACTCACTAATTTACTGTATTTTTCAATTTTCGATAAATCGACCATCGAAATGTAGAAATATATTGCTTGTAATTTTTTTTTTTCTTTTTTCTGAGTGAAAGATGACTTTTTTTTCAATAACTCTTTTTTTGCAATTATGATTATGAAATTTTTTTTATGATTCTTTGTAATCATATGTGAAAGACGGATACAAAAATTATATTGAAGTTCTAATTAGCAAATTGTCAAAAAATTTTTAGATCATTATTCAGTAACCTAAATAAAAATATTAAACAGAAAGAAAAAAATCTTTGGAGAACAAAATTCTTGGCTCAAGAAAATTTGTCGGGTGCCTGAAGGAAGACCGAAGTTGTGTTGATCGAAGTGAAAATTTTTCTTGAAATTCTATTCTTGGTGGAAGTAATTTTTTCTTAATTCAAATTATCATAAATACTTGATACAATAAATTTTTATATTTGATCAAGATTTTTAGATATTTCAGGGAAACAGCGCCACCTACTTCAGCTGAGAAAAAAATTTTATTTGATCTTCCCATTTGACATGTTAATCAATAAAAATATTAATGAAAATTTACTTCTATCTTTATATTTAATTTTTTGGAGCAAGAGAGAAATTTTCTCAAGACAAGAAAATTTACTTCTATCAAGAACTAAATTTTTTGGAGCAAGAGGCTGAATTTTCTCAAAACAACAAGATTTTTTTGACTTAAATAAATTTTCTCGGATCAAGATACGTATTTCTTAAAGCAAGAGAATTAATTTTGTTGGAATAAGTGAAATTTCTTGTCAAAAAAAAATTTTTTTTTCTCTCAAGAAAATAATTAGGAAGAAAAATATTTTCTTGGCTCAAATGAACCTTTTTTTCTGTGTAGAAGTCACTATAAAGACCATTTATAAAATTTACATGTAAGAATTATATGTGAGAATCATATATAAAAATTATAGATAGAATCATATGTAAAAGTCACATACGGAAATTATTTGTGATGATATTATGTAAGAATAATACATAAGAATCATATGTGAAAATTATAAACGAGAATCATATAGAAAAATAAAATATTTTCTATTTTCTTCAGTAAAATTCGATGAATTAATTCAAAAACATTATAAATTGTATATTTACATAATTCACTGTCATATTACATACATAGTAAGACCTTATAAATGTAAATGAACGTAAACAACGTTACATAATAACTCAATTAAAAAAATGTTTTTGGAAGAGAATGTGCTCTAATTTTCGAAGGGCTGTTACCATGAAATAATTTAAAATGAAAGTAAACCGTGAATTGAGCAATTTCTCGGACAGGACCAGCCTCTCTCTTTTGCGGGATGTGGGATATCAAAAATAAGTAACAACACCACCAACAACAACAACACCGATGATAATAATAATTTAAAAAAAATATGTGAGAATTTAAAGATAAGACGAATTACATCAAAGTTGTAGGAGAAATTTTATTGCGAAATAAAATTAGCATATGAGTATTAATACACTCTTTATTTGAATACATTAAGCTTGCGATTCGCGATCGGTAATCGCTGATCAAAGTGGATATGAATTATAATTGTATTGATATCAGGTATGAGCTATCAACGGCTATAAAATATGTGGGATTGTTACTGATTTAATTGAAGTATAATCATGTATATATCAACGGAACTTCCGGGTTAAATTCATTCGAGAAAGTCAAAAGTGCTGTTTATTTCCAGTCGAGGAATTAGGGACGAATTGTTTGAATATTTTATCTGGATTGAATCTATTATTGATATTTTTATGCTTATTGTTATTGTTATTTAAAAGCTTCCGTGGTCATAATCTGCTCCACTTGGTTTATCGATCACGATCATTTTTTCGGTTGAATAGTTTGCTTTCGAGTTCCGGAAATGTAATCAAATAAGTTGTGGATTATCGATTGATAGGATCCGCGTGATAGGTTGTTAGTTACACTTCAGATAAGAGAGAACAATTCTCGAGAACTAACTAGTCTATCTAATTGGTGATAGTTTAGTTACATTATTACGTAAAAAAATTTTTCTGTCACCATATATGGCTTGATAAGTCCGTATTTATTTTTTCGACCCAAAGTAGTGTTAAAAATTTCCAACAGATGGCGTATCATCGCTGAATTCTCTCCCTACTAGATAGTTAATTTTAAAATACTTAGTTCTTAAATAAAAATAATTATTTTCGTTCTAATAGAAGAAAAATGTACGGAAAATTTTATGCTATATTTACAAAGAAGTATTGTTTAATTTACATGTATGATTATGTAAAATTTACATTGTAAATAATTGTAAACTAATAATAAAAAAAAATAGTTAAATTCACAAAAATTGGCTTGTAAAAATAATTAAATTAGGGATTAAAAAATATTTATCATTGAATGTACAAAATTATAAAAGATTTTAGGCCATATAAAGTTTTATACAATGAATTTTTCAATGTAAAATATTTTAAAGATAGATTTACAATTTTTTTTCTGTAAATTCAACATTTTTTCCACTTGAAATTTACATTTTCAGAATAAAAGTTTTTATAATTTAATAATTACATTTCTAAAAATGTAAATTTAAAACAATATTTCGACAGAAATAAAAAATTTAATTAAAAAAATTTTTTTTCTCACTCAGTAAAAAATTTTGCGTTAAAAATTTAGTGTTAAAAATTTTTATGTTAAATATTTGACACTTTTATGTGTAAACTTTTTTATATTAATTTGATAGAAAAAATGTTAAATTTACACATAAAAGTGTCAAATATTTAACATAAAAATTTTTAACACTAAATTTTTTTACTGTGCATATTCTTGAAGAGAACTTGTTAAAGTTCGATGTTAGTTTAATCAATTAAAAATAAAATAAAAAATTATAATACTCTTATAAATAAATAAAAAAAAATTTCTCCATGGAAAATTATAATATTTATTTTTATTTTTTATATTTTAGATGCTGGAACGAGTTATGGTTAAGGAAAGTAATGAGGATCCAGCCGCAAGGGGCAAAAGGACTATTGGTATTTTACGACAATTTTTTCCTAGTATAACCAAGGTATGTAATAATAATTTTTTTATGTAATTTTTCATCAATATTAATAATTTTTTATCGAAAAGTTATGAGCATATGTAACCACAAATCTTCAATAAAAAAATTATACAGTAATATTTTATTCAAATACAAGATCCACATGTGAATTAATTTATAATAATAACCAGGCGATACTGGCACACACAGGAAACAAAAAGGCCGCTCTTACATCTTTAGTAGCATGTACTTCCGGTTTTTTTACCCTCTCTGATCTCTTAGATCAAAAAAGCGTGACGAAACGCGTGCGGTTTACACCGAGTAAATTTATAAATAAAGCAAAGTTGAGAGAGTACCTACACTACTTCTTTAATCGCTAATAAAATAAACAATAAAATTGTCCGGTTTGTTGTAAGTTTACTTCAGAAGTGTCTTTTATACCTTTTTTTATTTTTTTGTCACGTCGGTAATTATCTTTACAGCAACTAAACATTTTACTATTGTTATTTATTTATTAACTATAATTTTTTATGTCATTTTTATGGCAAAGAAATTATTTTACAGCGCGAAATTATTGAAGAATTTATTAAATTTTCATCGAATAAAATTATTTTAAAAATTGAACAAAATTTTATACCACTTACCACTTGGAAAAAATGAGCCTGGGATGAAGAGGGCATCTTGAAGAACCTGAAAAAAAAATTTTAAATTTAATTTAAAAATTATTTCTTAGCAAAAATCTTTAAAATTTGGATTTAAAATTGAATTAACGCTTTAAGGGTAAGAAATACGTAAAAATTTATAAAAGTCTCTTTTTTAGAGAATTTAATTCAATATTTAACTCAAAATCTTCATTAAAAATTTTCATCAAAAATCAAATCAAATAAAAAATAAAATAAAATACAAAAAAATAAATAAATTTTTGGAATAGATAATTGAGACAAAAGTCAACTCGATAGTGTCCCAAGTGATCAAAATACTGGGCCCGACAGTGTTGCGCACGACTTTGAATAACGGGGGCCAGAATAAGTCCCCGGAAGACAGCTCGAGGAGCGACGAGGACGGCTCTCTAGTGACCGCTGCCTCGCCCTTCGACGACGAGGAGTTGCTCGAGGAGGACACTGAGACTGATAAGGCTAACGAGATAAGTTCCGAATCGGACGCAACCAACACTAAGAGCAGTGAGCCCCAGAAAAAACCAGAAGGTCCAATTTTGAATCTTGAATCTTGAATCTTCAGTGACTTAAATTATCATCATGATTCTTCTGTTCTGTCCATCATCGCTGACACATATTCAGAATCAAAATCAGATACAAATAGATCATATAATAACCATTAACCATTAATCATACAATTATTAATGATTTAGTTTCTTATTATTATTATGTTGACCTTCTTACTATTTTCTACTTTCTAATGCCGTCCACCACACGAATATTACATACGCCATATCACCATTTAAAAAACTAGTATATTATTATTATTAATGCTATTATTATTATTATTATTATTATTATTATTATTATTAAATTTATTATTGAGTTCAATGGAAGTAGGTGAAATTGATCAAAGTAAAGAATTAATATTTAACAAATTTTTACGAATAACTTTAATAATTAATTAATTTCAATTTCAAATAAATTATAAAAAATTAATTTTATTGCACGCCTCATAAACGAAGCGGATTAAAGATATTTTGAAGAGCTCGTTTAAATTTTTCCGCGGATAGTATTTTCTTTCTTCTCTTTCGTTCCAATAAGTGAATCATAAAAAAGAACCAAAGGACAGAAAATTTCTCCAATTGCCAGCCGAAAAAAATTAATTATAATTAAACAAAACAATATTAAGCTACAATTTTCAATTTGTAACTTTAAATTAGGTAGATAAGGAGATTAAAAAATAAATTGAGTTAAATAATTGATTTTTTTACAAGTTATCTTGTTTGTCCCTTCTTAAAGACTTAAAAAATTCACACTATAAGCAATTACAACCACTTTTTTATATAAAAATAGCAATTAATTGATTTAAAAATAATTTTTTTAATAAAAATAAAAATGAAAATAAAAATAAAAATAATAATAATAATAATAATAATAATAATAATTGCAATAAAAAATAACTCCCCAAAAAATCATAGGACGATTTTATGAAAATTTTTCTACGTATCATATTATTTTATGTTGTCTTTTTTTTTTCAAGGCTCCGTTTCTTCAACTCCGCATTGACCGGATTACCTTGAAATCTATTTGTCAATAATCATTTTATTTATTGATACTAATAAAAATAAAACTATTCAGACAAATTTATTTGAAAAAATAAAAATTAAAAAGTTTTTGTATCCATCTAAAATTTTTTACATAATTACAAATGAATTTGTCTGGTGTTTTTTTGGGTCATGAGGGTAAAGAAAGATTCACTGATTCTAGGAGACGACTCGCGAAACGGAGAAGCAAGAACAAGACGCAAGCGTAGCGGAGTCGAACCACAACGAGGTGAAGGTCCAGTTCGCGGACCAGGACAATCTGGAAGCCGCTACCGACAGCGGCGATTTGCCCCCGCTGGAGGAAATCGAGGTCCCGGAGGACGAGAACAGGAACAAGAGGTTCCTCAGCTTTGGCTTCGGAGGTAGTGGAGCCGCGGGAGGTAGTGGAGGCGGATCAGGAAATTTTCTCTTTGACATTATTCGAGTAAGTTTTTCTAGTCTTGGTTTTTTTTTAATTGGAATTAAATAAACATTTTTTGGGAAGTTTCGTTTAATGGTCGACAAAAAATACCACCGCAAGATTTAATTAGATTGAAATTTAAGAGATAATTTAAGAGAAAATTATTCACATTATCTATTTTATTAATATGAAACTTTCGGTATTTTTTTTAGAGTTTTTTATATTTTAATGACCACAAGTTTCGAGGTTACCGAAAAAAAACCCTACTTTCACTATTACAAAACTGGGAGACGTAAAAAATGGCTTAAAAAATTTATTATATATTCTGAAATTAAATGTTTGAGGAATTTTAAGAAAATTTTTCAATTTTATAGATATTTATTATTCTCAAAAAAATCATTTGAAATTTTTATCAAAATTTTAAAGTAGTAAAAATTAATTCATTCACTAAAAAAAAAATAACGGTTAAAAAAAATTTTAATATTAAAAATTTCACTTTTGTGTCAAGATATTTTTAATTTAAATTAATTAAAAAATTTTATCCATAAATAAGACTAAAAAATAAGAAAAAAATTTTCTTATTTTAAAAAAAAAGACATTTATTTAATCTAACCATTTTTTTAATAAAATTCTGGCTTTAAAATATTTCTCTAAATTCAAGTATTTTTTTTTTATAAGTTTAAATTATATTTTTTAATTTAATAAAATTTTAAAAAACTAATAAAATATTGTATTGATAATTTTTAATAATAATTTCCAAAAAAATTAATATATTAAAATTAATAAAAATTGAAAAAATACTTAATTACATTTTTTTGATCAAGTATTTTTTTTTTAGGTAAAAAAAATTAACTAATAAAATTTAGGCAGATAATTTTGAGTTTCAACTTAAATTTTTGTCGACCATTAAACAAAATTCTCTTGAAAAAAAACCCTTTCATAAATTTGACGGAAATTTCGAAAAAATATCGAAAAGGCTTTTTCTACTAACCAATTATTTGCAGCGAGTTACGGTACCTTTAAACAAGGGAAGATTTAATGAAAAAAAATATATGAAAAAATGAAAAAAAAATAGTGTTGAGCTAAAATAAAATAAATTAGAGACAGAAGAAATGATAAAAAATAGAAATAAAAATAAAAACGACTGGTGTGTGTCCTAGCAAGCAGCCGACGGGGCGGCAAGAGCGGCAGGGACGGTTTACCGCGTGGTAGCGGGCACACAAAGCCTCGGTCTAGGTCTAAGCGCCTCGCGAGATCTAGCACCGTCCCCTACAACCGCAGCAAGTGCCGCCCCCGCAGCCCCCGCCACCCCCGCAGCCGCCCCTGCGCCCGGAACTGCCACGCAACCATCGGTACGCCATTCCTTCCGACAACCACAACTAATTAAATATAATCCACTGTACTGTACTATATATGCTACTTATAGTTTCTGTTAATTATTTCTTCTTAATTTCTACACGGAGAGAATTAAATAGCAAAAGTAATCATGTAGTTATTGTAGAGTTTTTTTAATTTAACTCGATAGGAATTAATACTACGTAGGTTATTAAATAAACAATATAATCTCTATTAAAGTATCTACAAACCCTATCATTATATTTACAATTATTTATATTAATAACAGCTGTCTAATTTTATTTTATAAAATATTTATAAACGTCATCAATATTATAAACGTTATTATTTAATATTAATATTGTTTATCAGAATTAATTCATTAAATTTAAAATTTACAATTGTTAATTTTAATATAAACTTTATAATCTCAAAAAAGATATTTATAATAGGAATAATTGAGAGATAGTAACAGTTACCATCACAAATTATAATAGTTGTCATCTAAGCTAATTGAAATTTCATATAAAAAATCATTATCCTCGATAGTAATTGTTATTATCCTCATTAATAACTACTACAATTAAAATGAAAAATATTAGGATACTTTATTATAGAAAGTTCTATTAAATGATTATTAATTCTAATCACAAAATTATAAAACTAATTATTTAAATACTGGACAAATTTCACTACTATTTCAGATGAGTAACATTAAAAAATTTAATTCTCTCCATGGATTTTTCTGTCAGCTAACATTATTGTGGTCAAACTCCCAATTTTTATTACCAATTATTATTTTTCTGCAATGCAATCTCTAGTTCCACCTCTTTTTCCCCTAAAATTCCGAATTACATCACTCTTTTAAATTATTAATTATTAATCACTAATTAACTGCACATTTATGCTTGACGCGCCACTGCACTTTCGTCTGACAAAAATTGTATTTTTTTTTTGTTTCCATTCCTTCTGGCACTTTTGTAACAATTTAATTTAATTTATTGTTCGTCTTGGTCTAATTAATCCAACGGAATTTGGTTTAGTAACTTAATTAAATTAAAGAGATCTTCAGTATCGAAAGACAATTAATTGTTCATTCATAATGGCCTAGAAAAAATTAAAAGAATTTTTTTTTAAGATTACAATAAAATTAACTACTAAATAATTTTTTTTAAAATTCGACTTAATAATTAATAAAAAAAGATTTCTTTAATAAAAAAAAAATTAACACTGAGGCTTCTTTTAACAAAAAAAAAAAAGAAAAATTAAATAATTAACAATTAATCACTCCCGCAATCGCGTCCCGTCCAATGCGCCGTCCAGCCGAAGATCCTGACGTTCATATTCATGAAACATAAAACATGAACCAACGCGTCGGCTCAAAAAAAAAAAAATTAAAAAAAAAACCAGGACGAACCATTAATGCGTATCTACAAAAAAATAAAAAATTAAATCGAACAAAAATAAATTTTTTATCCCAGTACCTTCGTAGTCTAGACTCTAGAGTAGTTGCGTTTGAATAAATGCACAAATCACTTAAAAGTATTGTAAATGACTTTTACTCGTGCTTGACATTAAAAGCACATTACATGTAGTGATAGATCCTGCGAAACAATTGCGACAGGATCAAGGGGGACTGGATGCAACGGGCGAAAATGGAACGCCGTTGCGAAACATAATCTATTATTATTGTTATTACAAATTTCTCTTACAACTAAATGTCTGGGCATTAGAAATTATTTTTTATAAATAAATGAAATCCTTTAATAGTCCTCTCCTGGCACTGACATCCTCGACGAATCAGTAGATTTTTATTTAAATAATTGATAAAATTTTACAGTTAGTCGCGGGCAGTGGATCGGCATCAAGTGACGGAAGCTCGACAGTAAGAACTGAAGAGGAAGCGGTACCCGGACCTATTACGAGGCTATTCGTAATCGCTAATCGGGGGATTTCCAATCTTGTACAGGACATTATTCTCGTAAGTACTGTTTGTCAATAGAATACTTTTATTAAGTTTTTATAAATATATATCCTTTATTAAAAAGTTGATGTAACGTTTTCATTGTTGTCGCTTTTCGTTGCTATGATGATCACTTTGGCAACAGTTACCATAGCAACGGTTAAATATTAATGAGTAAAATTATTATATTATAAACATTTTGACCTAAGCGCGCAAAGCGCGTTCGATTTTCCAGTAAAAAAACTAAAATTATACACTGAAAAAATTTTTTTACTGAACAATATTAAAACGAATTGTGGTATTATGATAGCAACGAATTATAATAGCAAAACATATAGGTTGTAATAAATAATTTATATGTTATATCAACAAAATAGCTTTGTTAATCTAGCAGAATCTTCTAGTTACACTGAGAAAAAAAAGTACTACTTTTGAGAAAATTTTCTTATCTCAAGAATTGATTAAATTAATCGAAGTATTTTTTGTTGATTTCGAGTAAACCTATTCGTTTGTTAATCTATCAAAATTAATGCCAAAATTTTATTATCATGACAGATATTGATATTTTTTTGTCAAAAAACCAAAATTCATTTTAAGCGATTGTTGAGCCAAGAAATTTTTTTCTAGACAAAAAATTTTATTTTTCTCAGTGTAATTTAACAAAACAGTTTAACTAAATTAACAAATCGGTTTGTTGAAGCAAATAAATTGTCAAGTTGGGATAACAAATATTTTTGTTGGTTTAATAAAAAATATTTTGTTGCAGTAAAATTAACTAGTTAGATTATTTTGACAAATTTGATTTTTAAAGTAGCTAAATTATTTTGTTATAGAATTAATAATAGGTGAAGGCAACAAATCTATTTTTTTTTTTTTTTATGGAAACAAATAGATTTTGTTCAGGCAATAAATAAATTTTGTTATAACAATAAAATCAGCTAAGTAATGCTAGTTGAGTAATTTATTTATACCAAAAAAATTATTGTTGTTAAGACAACAGATTGATTTAGCGGAATTACAGATCGATTTATTATGGCAACTTAACTCACTTTGTTAAAAAAACTAATCAATTTTTACAACCCGTAAAAAAATTTCTGATGACCATATATGTTCTGATATCTTATGAAAATTGGTCATATAAGGGTAGATATGGCCAAATGAAACTTGATATATTTTGGTATGACCATCTGTGGTCTAATATGTGCGTAGATAATTTTTTGATATGACCATATATATCTAAAAAATATTCCGATGTATTAAATTATATGAGAACATACTCGGAAAAAAATTGAATAATTATAATTATTATCATTTTTTCATAATATAGCTACTAGCCTTGGAATGTTATTGACTAAAATCTACTTATGGTGGTAGTTACCATCACGATAAGTAGATTTTAGTCAATAACATTCCAAGGCCAGTAACTATATTATGAAAAAATGATAAGTATTCAATTTTTTCCAAGTACATCACCATATCAGAAAAATTTTTTGCCGGTGTAATTAAACTAATTTGTTACTACAACAGATTTGGCTGCAATCTCGTCTGTTGTTATTTTTACGAAATCATTTTTATGAGTATAAGATGGTTAATTACGATTAGATAATAACTTCTAACAATTGGTAATAACTTTACACTTATATTAACACAACGTCGGTTGTTCTAAGAGATTGTAATTGATTGGTATCGATTGTATTTTTTGTATCGTGACTAATTGAGTCACTGTTGCCGCGACCGGCAAGATTGACTTGCATTCAATCGATCATGATTGATATCTTATTGCAATTGTGCAATTACTTTTTGCGCAAAAATACATAACATTTTTTATTTTTTTTTATTAGAAAGTTCTTTTTTTTCTTTTTTTTGCAATTTTATACGGCTAAATTTGTTACAAAATTAATTGGAGAATTTTTTTTCTGTTATGAAAAATATTTAACTATTCAAAGATGATTTGAAAGTGAATAATTTGTGTCATTTTAAATTTAGTAATATATAATTCTCTATGACAAAATAATTTATTACTCCAATTTATAAATTATTTAGAGCATACATAACTTGTTATTTTACTTAATAAAAATTAAACTTTTGAGATTGAACTATTTTATTGTTTTATAAAATAAAATTAAATAAAATAAAATAATAAAGGTAGAGTAACATAGATAATAAAAATATCTGAGTGGAATACCAAGCGGTCAGACCGTGAACGCTTTCCAAGTCAATTCGTGATGCGAAATTAAATGTGCATTTGTTGCAAAAACTGCGCCAAGTATTTCAAAATTATTTTCAATGGCATGTTTTATATTTTTCATTGGGTTAATTATTTTTTATATTAATAATTAATAGTTATTATAATTATTTTTATTTTTTGCTAAAATGTGCAATAATAAAAAAATTAATTTTATTCAAGAGAAAAAATTTTAAATCGAAAATTAATTTTAAAAGAAAAAAAAAATTTTGAGTAAAGTTTAAGAAAGAGTAAAAATTAAAAAAAAATATTTATGCAATTTTTTTTTTTCTTTTGGAGACAATACAATCTGATTATCAGTAAATTGATATAAATATTATACATACAGAATGAAAAATATATAACCCAAGGTTAAACAAACCGCAGGTCCTTTTATTTATTACATTAAATGTATTAAAATACATTTAGTAAGACAAAAGTAGCTTCTTTACGTAAACAGAAACCCCCAGTTCCTAAAAAGAAATAAAAACTTAAACTGACAGGCTATTTCGTAGAGAAAGTCGCCAAGTATTTTTTGCTTTCCATCGATTCGACTCGCCATTATTACGTAATTAATTATTTATAGTTATCTAGACCAGCTGCTAATATATTATTATTAAACATTTTTCATTGCTAAAGGTTAATCATTTATTATGTTTCGCAAATTGAATTCTGTACTTGAAAATTTTATGAAAATTAATAATACACGGAGAAAATTAAATTATTAGCTTATATCTTCAAAAATGTCATTAGTTGACAAGATAGCAGTGTCAATTCTTAATTATTGACATTTTTGAAGATATAAGCTCATTCCGATGTTACACTCATCAAGAGCTTTCATTTGAGTACCCACATGCATTTTTGATATATTTTTTATATATACATGTATATAATATCTAAAATATATGAAAAATTGATGTGGGTACTCAAATGAAAGATCTTGACGAGTGTAATGTCAGGATGAGCTTATATCTTTCAAAATGTCAATAGTTTACTAGATAACAATGTCAATGCTTAATTGTTGACATTTTTAAAGATATAAGCTCATCCCGATGTTACACTCATCAAGAGCTTTCATTTGAGTACCCACATGCATTTTGATATATTTTTCATATATACATATATATAATATATATAAATATATAAAAAATTGATGTGGAAATTCAAATGAAAGGTCTCGACGAGTGTAATGTCGGAGTGAGCTTATATCTTTAAAAATGTCAATAATTCACGAGATACAAGGTCATTTCTTAATTATGTATCTAGAGATAGAACATTTTCGAATGCAACCTAAATACTTATCATAAATTGACGATTGGTGAGAATGATATGAAACCATGAAAAGGCACAACTCCAAAATAAAGAATTGATTTCTTTAAATTACTGACATTTAACTCTTATGCATTTACAAATTTATGTATCTTGCAATACATAAAAATAAAAACTCGTACTATAAAATTTTATGTCTAATAACAAGTGAGTCGCAGTATTGCATAACAATGCTAATAAACTCTGAAGGTTTTTGTCTATTTTATGCAACTAAAATTATTCTACAATAAATTTTTTGAAACAATGATACTTGTATCAATAGTTGAACTGTTTATTTATTTTTTTTTTTCAGAGACTTGCAGCAACGAGCGAACGGATTGTCAACTTCAAAGCACGATTAATCACATCCATCATATGAAATAGCGTAATTAGCCTAACTAGACAACAAAACAACAAAACAACTAAAGAATCGTAGGTACGACGCAGTAACGAAAAAATAAGTAGTTGCTCTTTGTTCCTGTGATTCAAAAATAAAATACAATGGATTTGCAGCATCACAATCTATTTTATTGTTATTCTATTTCGTTTTTTTTTTTTTTTTTTTTATTTATTCAAGTAAATGGAATAATGTAGTTGATAAATAATTACTGTAAACTTGTAAATATTTAATTAACTAAAAGCTCGATGTTTGTTTTTCTCTAAGTACTTATTTGGACTGTTTTTCGTCATAAACTCCATGTTACTTATTAATTATTATTATTATTATTATAAATTATAAATAATGTGGAGTGCTCGTGTGATCCATTGCCTTGGACAATTTTTCTTTTGTCTCTTTTTTAGCCGGATTATTTTGGTTTTAATTAAGAGGCAAAGGTTTAATTGTTTTAATATTAATCTTAGATTTTATTATTATATAATTGATAATTATTAATTATAATTGTAGTACAATAATGTTCAAAGAGAATTTAATTATTTGGAATTTATTGAAAAATTTTGGTTACTTTTTATTTGGTTGAATTTTAATGTAAATAAATAAACTAAAAATGAAATTTAATGGATTTTAATTTATTTTAACTTAAGTTCTAAATTATTGAGCTAATTTCTGGGCTATTAAAAATATATATCATGCATTATACCATAAAATTTTTATCCTTATAAAAAAATAATCGAAGTGCAATTAATTGAAAATAAAAAAATTGAATTTTTTATCATTAAAACATCCAATAAAATTTTTTTTTAATTTAATGCAGAAATATTTTATAAAAATTTCACCCAAAATTTGACTAAAGAAGTTTCTCTTTACATTCAAATTAATAAAAAATTTTTGGTCAAGTATCTCATGAATTCATGATCAACAAATATTAAAAAAAGTGTAAAAAAATAAAAATTTTAATATTATGAGTTAGAGCAAGGTTGTGCATTAAATTTATCTCAGCACGAATTAGTGTTTTAAATTATTGCCAACAAATCAGTAATGAGAAGAGTGACTCACGCAAGTAATAAAAAATACTTTGAAAACAAAGTTGTAAAAAAAATTTTAAATGATATATTTCAAAACCTTTTTTTCATTTCAAATAAATACTATTACAGTGCAAGTATAATTTAAAATAACTGCGAATTTTAATAAAAAAAAATGGGTCGCACTAATGTATATACGGCCCAAAAATTTTTTTCTATCATAATTATGGTAGTAAATATATTTTCAGTTACATCAAAACTGAAAGAATTGAAAAACGAAGATCCACAATCTTCATGGACTGGAGGTATTCTAAAGAATATTAATTTTGAAGAATTTGAAAAAAAAATTAATTTTTTTATTGTTAAGATATGTTTGCTGATTTTAACAACAAATACGCGGTTCTAATTGAAAAGGAATTTTCGTTATCTGATTATTTCAAAAAGGAAAGTCTTGAAAATCTGACAAATTTTTTGCGCAAGAACAATTATTGCCCAGGAAACATCCACAGTTGTTCGTTAAAAGTAACTTACTTTCAAAATATATATTTTTATGATTATGATAGATTTTTTTTGCCAAAAGGGTGCAAAAAAAGTTTTTTTTTCTATTAATTTTGAAATAACTCAAAACGCAAAGATCTATATAACAATATTTTTGAATTTCTAAATTCAAAAGGGGGCAGCTCAAGACATATGCGTTTTTGACATTAAGAAAAATTTTGTATAAGTAAAAAAGGTGGGAAAAATAATAATCAAAGTTTTAGTAAAAAATGTTTACAAATAATGCTAGATCAAATTAATACTAAAGAATAAAAAAAATAAATAAATAAAATCAACTATAAAGAGAAGGTATACACAACAAATTAATGCTAAATAAGATGACAAAAAAATTTTTACGCCCTTTTGGTTTTAGATTTTTTTTTTTTTTATTTTTAAGCTTAGTATATTTTTGCAAAGCAATTGGCAAAAATGTAAAAATTTTTATATGCTTTTTTGGGATTTGGAACACAATTTTTTTGACTTTTGTACTCTCTTTCTAGACATCATCAAGTGGCCAATTCCAAATTTTTAATAATAGATATTTTTGTTTGTGCAATCATACTTATGACAGTGATATCGATACAGATGAAAGTGCATTGAGTGATTTACACCGTGCCGTTTTTAACTATCCTCCATCTAGATTACTTGACTCTTTTTGCGTCGATACCATTGAGCTAGAAGACAGTTAGTAAGTAATGATTATCAAGAATTGAAAATTTACAACCATATTTACTGACCGCGCAATTTAATTAAAAATGTATATTTGTAGTGTTGTTACTGGAGTGAGATTCAAAAGGTATGATAATAAAATCCATCTTGAAGTGCAAAAGGCGAAGTTATCTAATGGGCGAATCATTTCGGATTCCATCAAATGGCACAATCAAGGAAAATGTGTTAATTCAACAAAAATATTTACAAGAAACAGCAATTTTATCTACGATGGTTTTAAAATTGTACTGAATGATTTTATTCTACCAGATAATTATGTTGTTACAGGTTAATTATTTAAATTCATTCATTTGAAGTATAAATTAGTGGGTCTTGGTTACTGTTGGTAACTATAACTAACAAGCTGTTAAATTTATTATTTTACTCTTGTCAAGACATAGATGCCAAATTTATATTTTTAAAAATTCAATTTTTATATTATAAAAACTGTCAATCTCAAAATGTAAATTTTACATTGCAAAAATGTAAATTTAACGCGTGTAACATATATTAAATTTACATGGAAAAAATAATGTAAATTTAACATGTAAAAAATGTAAATATGGCATTAAGAAATTTTTTAATTTTACATTGGAAAATTGCATTACATAAAACAATATAAGATTATATATGACAAAAATTCTTATATAATTTTATATGATTACAAAAAATTTTTCCTGTAAATTTATTAATTATTTTTTGTAAATATACCATCAAATGGCCATATAATTTTTTTCCCACAGGTGTAAAATTTGGAGAACAAGTAATTGGTCGGTACCTCAGCGATAATCACAATCTCCATAGAACAAAACCTCCAATTATCCAAAAAATAGAATGTAAAGGGTATGAAACATCTAAATCATAACTTTCTTTGATTTAAAATCTACAGATTAAATATATAATTTCAGAACCAATAATATTCTTCAAAACTTAGAGAAAATCCGGCCATCAACGTCATTAGTAGGAAACAACACCATACTCAGCCGTTCGTGCCAAGAGCATTTTGTCTTCACTACAACTTCTTTTGATTTTGACTATCAGCAGCACATTGTTCCATACGTAGATTTACGTGAAGTAATTACTAGTCCACCTGAAGCTATCCATGGAATCGGTTGGTATTATCGTGGCGCTCCGGGATATGGAGGGTTCCTGGGATTGAAAATCTTCGTCAATAGATACTATTAACTATTAAACCACATTGTCATGAGTATACAATTTTAATGTTATCAAATATTAATTACAAGCATATTTTGTAACATGAAATACATCATTGTAATTTGACACAATTATTTATTATTATTAAAATACATATAGCTAAAGCTAAATTAAATTAGCAGGTGTAAAATTTGTAAGATGCACTCATAAAAGGATTTGTTAATATTTAATTAGATTTATTAAATGCCAAAAAGGCTCCAAAACTTTTAATTTAATTTTTAAAAAAATATTTTTTTTTTAATTTTACTCGTATAAAATTTACAAAAATATGAGTATGTATAATATCTTATGATTATGATTATAATTATTATATATTTATAAAAATAGTAATTTACAATCAATTGTCACAAGGTGACTCGCTGGGACACATGCAATCGCAAGAGTCCCACCGTTTTAGCTACGGAGGCGACGTAACAGGGTCAGCATCGGCAATACCGACGTACACTGGGTCCCCAATCCGGACCACTCCATTGGGACCTTTCAAGCCCATATGGACGCCCATTACTGGATTGTCTTTGGTGTAAGGACGCAAATCTGGATCTTCAATCAGTCTGTATCTATAAATATTTTGTCATTTTAATATTTTAGTTCAATAAATACCGAGAGTTTTATATTACACAAGTTTCTCAAGATTTTTATAAAAAATTTATGATATTTAAAATATAAATTGTAATTTTATAAATTACCATTACGCTAATTTATATTTAGTACAATAATAAAAAATTACTTGATACAAGAAAAATATTTTTGATCCAAAAAATGATTTCTTCTTTAAAAAATATTTTTTCTTAATGCTCAAAAATTTATTATAAATTTATTTATAAGAGTGAAATTTTTAAGATAATATTTTTCTTTAATCAAGTAGTTTTTTTTTTCAATGTACGCTCTTCTGCGCGAGTGTTAGTCGTTAATTAAATTAAATTATCCAAGTAGTTACGTTTTCAAAGTCTTAAGTGGCTCCATTTTAGGATGTTTAACACCAAGCTCTGGATGAACAGTAGTGAAGATACATCTGGTACAAGGCTTGACGTTCCTAAATAAAACACCGCCAATTTTTATCCAGTCCCAAGTATCTTCTTCCAAAGGTTCTGCGCCTTTGACGACGAAATTTGGTCTGAAATTCAGAGGAACCACTGCATCTTCTATTCGCGTGTTCAAGTCATTGATCGAAGCTTCGTTCATCAACGTGTATGCTGTTGCGTCTGGATAGGCGCCCTGTTTTTGAAAAGTTGAACAAAAGTTATGCAGTATAAAAAAAAAAGCTTGGTAAATCCAAATATGCATGCCTTAAATGCTTTTTATACATAAATTGATCAAAATAATGTTTTAATTTACAACAAATTTTTACTAATAATACTTCAATGGTATTTTCAATTTTTTAACAATTTTTAACAAAAAATTAATTATATTTTAAAGCTCGTTTAAATTTTACCGTGAATAGTATTTTTTTCATACGAATTGAATGCCCTCTTTCGTTCCAATAAGTGAATCATAAAAAAAAACCAAAGGACAGAAAATTTCTCCAATTGCCAGCCGAAAAAAATTAATTATAATTAAACAAAACAATATTAAGCTACAATTTTCAATTTGTAACTTTAAATTAGGCAGATAAAGAGATTAAAAAATAAATTGAGTTGAAAAATTGATTTTTTCAAAAGTTATCTTGTTTTTCCCTTCTTAAAGACTTTAAAAATCCTTATTATAAGCCATTAAAACCACTTTTTATGTAAAAATAGCAATTAACCGATTAAAAAAAATTTTTTTAAGACTAGCGATCATTTTTCTTTCTAACAGTGTACTTTTTGTATCAATTATATGTACAATGTGGCTGTGAGGCATGCAAAAAAATGAAAAAATGAACACACTGCATCGGATTTTTCCATAAGAGGAAATCCCCGATTATTTTCTCTAACATCGCGATACGGTCCATCAAGCGGATAGTAGACCAGTCTGAGGCCAGTGTCCTCTTGAAGAAGAAAGCGGGACAGCCAGCGAGCAACTTCTTCACCGCAATCGCAAGCAGGAACGGACTGACTCCAGACTGCGGCTTTGAAGGTCTTGCTCCCGATCTGGGCCAGATCTATGCTGATGGTCATCATTCCCGGAGCGCGAAGTGTCAATACTGAGCCTGCTACATTAGGAATCACCTGGACCATTCGTGGCAGCTGCCTTCCGGTTACGAACTTCCCGGACAAATCTATCACCATCAGAGTCCGGTCTCTAAGCCAACCGGACTTGCAGCCCAGAGGAGTGCACTCAATCGCGGTCTCTCTGATGCAGCCCAAGGATTTTACCGGGAAGACGAAAATGTCGCTCAGCTCGCCGACTTTTCGCCAATTTCTGGGCAAAATGTAGACCTTGCCTCGTCGCCACCACCACCAGGCAAAAACTAGCAAGGTTGTTGTTCCTATTGCTAGGGCTGTTATGCAGCTCATTCTTGTTCTGTCTGTTAAAATTATTTTTTTGTTACTTAACTTAAAAATTAATTTTTAAAATCATTAAAATTAGTTTTAAATTTGTAAAAATTGAGTCCATAATTTTTTTTTTAAATTAATATAACTCCAAAAATATTAAAAATAACTTTATAAAAACAATTTTATAAGCTACAATTTTGCTCTTTTATTTTTTCATAAAATCACACTGAAAGAAGGATTTGTTTATATTTAATAAGCTTTATTAACAGTTAATAAATTATTTATTAAATACGATTTATTAAATTTTAATAAATATTTGTTAATAGTTAAAAAATATTTAATAAATTAAATAATTGTCTTCAAATAAATTAAATTATTAATAGTTAACAAATCCTTATATCAGTGCAATTATTTAGAAGTTATAACCATTTTTATAACAATTAAAATATAACTTTTCATTTTGAAAATACTTGGCTCATCTTTTATTATATTAAAGATAACCTCACGGTATAAAAACATTTTTTATAATAAATTTTGTGAGCTATAACTTTGCCCTCTTATCATTTTTTTCATAAAATTTCTGCAATCCTTCAAGAGTAATGTTCAATTATGTAACTATAAGATTAAAATTTCCCGAATAACTGAATGATTAATTATTTATATACTTACATAAAGATAATTACAAAGTATTTTATTAAAAATAATAATAAAGAATTTTTTTTTTTAATTACTTTTAAAATAAGAGTTAATTGTTACTATTAGTGTTCATGGTCACCTGATTTTTTTGCAACAAAAAACTTAGTAATTAGACAGCTTAAATTCTTAGTTGTAGAAATTTTATGCTGACGTTGCAAAAAATAAATTAATATACAAAAAAAAAATTAATTATTTTTCTATAATAATTAATACATCAATTTTATATTCATGACAAATTATTTCAGCCTTTTAAAAGTAATACAACGCAATTATTAATTACATAACTCAAATAGAAAATAAAAAATAAAAAACAACGTTTGAAAATTTTTTTTTCTCTTAAAAAAAAAATGAAAATTATAAACACAAAAAATAAAATTACAAAGTAATAAAATTACTACTTACCCATTTTATTATTTAAGCACTAGCACAAATAGATCAAACTTATATTTAGATTATTTATTTATTCATTTAGATTTAAACTGATAACACCAAAATATAAAAAGAATGATAACGATCGCTGGGCTGCCGGCACACGACTAGACGCTGTAAATTTGCGGTGAAGTCTATAGTGTTAAAATTCACTAGATAATACTAGACATCAGTACTGAGTACTATACTCCGTAAAGTACTAATACAGACTAGTATTATTTTCGCTTATAAGTATTAGTGGAGTATGCGTACAATATAAATACCATCTATGTAAAATATGCGCATCTCAAACACGAAAGATACCGTTATCGATCCACGCAACATTTACTACCGCGTTTGATTGTTGCTCAAGTATATCATCCGTAAATAATTCACTAACTGTAAAAGTATGAATGAGTAACAATAAAATTATATTTTATGTAAAGATTATTTTATTTATCGATAAACAATCTTAATTGATACCCTCAAAATTACTTTTTTAATTACTTCATTTTTAAATGCATTATTCATGATTTGGAAGGATTTTAAATAGTTTCTTCATTCAATTTAATTATTTTCTCTTTATATTAATTGATAATTATCAAGTAATTACTGATATCTTTATAGTAATCTTGGAGATTTTATAGAATTTTTATAATTGTTGTATGGAATTTTATTTCTTTCTGCAAAATTAAATTTTTGCTCCAAATACTTAAAGAAGAAATAAATTTATTTGAAGTGAAAAATTTCAATAAATTTTATTTAGATTTTTGAAAAATTGTGTATTGAATTCTGGCAGGAGAAAAAATTAAAATATCGTACTTTTTAATTATTTTAAAGGCATATGCTTTCCTTGTATAGAAATTGTAGAATTTTAAAACTTTTTTATAATAAAAAAATTATTACAAAGAAAATAAAAAATCATATTTTAGAATTTTATTTTTATGAAAGAATTATTTTAAAGACAATCAAAAATAAAATTGTGACTCAAAGAATTTTTTCAATTTTTTTTTAACAAATAATTGTTACAAAAAAAATTTTAAATAAAAATGCGACTTGTAGAATTTTTAAGAAACAATTAAGACAAGTTTTTATTTAATTTTATCAAAAAATGGTCAGATGACAGCTGATTTTAATTTCAAAAAATTTTCGGTAAAAATTGGAAAATTTTTCTCTTTCAAATTTTTATTTTATTAATTGACAATAATTTTATATAATTTATACCTCAACATTTTTAATTATTATAAATTACAGGTATTAATTAATATAATTAATTAATATATATATATATATATATATATATATATATATATATAAATTTTATGTTTATTATGAAAATTAAATTAACCAAAATCTGAAAATTTTTTATCATCTTATTTATTGAAAAAATTATTACAAAAAAAATCAAAAGAAAAAATTTCACCAGTAGAAAATTAAAAAAATTATAAATGCAATTTTTTTTGTGTTTTTTTACTTACAATTTAATTGTTGAAAAAAATACAAAAATTGTTAAACGTCGGCTAATTTTAGTATGATATATTTACTTGGTAATCTTTAGAGTTAAAAGAAAATTTAAATTTTCCCGCTAAAACTCAGTATTCTGAATTCCTGCCACAATAGACCGAAGGCGTGCGAGTTAAAGAAAAAATAATAAAATAATGAAGAATGTAAAAAAAAATCAGCTGATATTTTTCAGTGTTTTGACGTTTGTCGATGGCGACGACTTAAATGTCATTTAAAAAAGATCTCAATTATCGGAGCATAAAAAATATCTTTGAGGCGTAGCTTTACTATATTTATTTTGTTTTGATAATCTGAAAACACTTTTCTGAATTTGTTGTAAAATTTGTTCATCTACTCTAAAAATTGCCCTCAATTTAAGAACAAACAAACGCCAAAGTATTTATTATTGGATAAATAAAAAATTACTCAGTGGATTGTTGTGTTGTACGTCGTAAATCGGTGAGTCATGTAAAGCACATTGTAATTAGCCTTAATCACTGTTTTTTATTAGTGATTTTCTTCGGGACTGTTTAACAACATATGTCTCATTTTTATTTAATACAAAATTTAAAACATAAACTTTCATTACTAATTCGCTTATTTATTTTATTTTATTTATTTAGAAGCATTCACTGAGTTGTATTGATAATTGTAAGTGAAACTAAATGACAGTTGCAATTATTTGTGACACTTAAATCAACAGACATCTAATCAGTTTTTGGTTAGATTAAAAATAAAATATTTAAATAAAATTGGAGTTTTTACTTTGGCTAAATTTTACAAGTCAAATTTTTGTTCTTAATTTTCTAAAAAAATTCTACAATTTTTATTTTTCTTTATAAAAATTAAATTGACAGAATTTTAATAATTTTAAAAATTTTTCTAACAAACAAATTATGACAAAAAAAAATGACATTTAGAAATTAAAATGTAATTCGTTAAAAATAATTTTTTTGTTACATAAAATTAAAAAATATGTCTAATTTTTGGTATTTTTATTTTTAATTTTCTATTTGATAATTTTTAATTCTAGAAATTAAAAAAATTTTACAATTTGATTTTTTATTATTATATTTTTATTTAATAATTATTTAATTGAGAAAATTAAAAATTTCTATTTTTAATTTGCTTTTTAATAATTTTTCTATAAAAAAAAGTATTCTAAAAAAGGAAAAAAATTGTTATTTCTATAATTAATTTTAATTGATTGTTTCTAGGTAACAATGCCTATCTTATACAGCGTAATTTCGCGAGGACCAACAATACTAGCCAAGTATGCAACCTGTACTGGTAATTTTGAGGAAGTAATAGACAAAATTCTACCAAAAATACCGCCTCAAAATGATAAACTAACTTACTCACAAGGACCGTATTTGTTTCATTATATTTGTGAGGATAGAATTATTTACATGTGTATAACAGATGATGTAAGTATTGAATTGAGTCATTTCAATGATAATCGCTTTAAATTACATTTTTAGATAAAGTTGCATTGTTTGGTTGAGCAGCTAGTTAGTATATAATTTTAAATTAAAAATGAAAATAAAGTTATGACTGAACAGTATATTATAACTATATTCAATTTTTTAAATTGATTTATAATATTATCGTTGGAAAGAAAAAAAATCAGTTTGATTTTTAGAAATTTGTAAATTGTAAAGGAAAAGTTAAAAACTTTTGGTCCTTTTTTACAAAAATTATAGTTTGAAAAATTAGAAAAAAATAATTTTAAATAAGTTAAAAATCGGAGTAAAAAGATTTAGAAAATATTTATTTTAATAAAAATTTATTGCAAATAAAAACTCTTATTTTTATTTAATAAAATAAAATTTATAAATTATTTTCAGGATTTCCAAAGGTCAAGAGCGTTCTTATTTTTAAACGAAATAAAACGAAGATTTTTGGCGTCTTATGGCCCCGGGATTCATACTGCTATTGCTTATTCAATGAACACTGAATTTTCACGGGTGTTGACTAATGAAATGGTAATAATAATTTATTTATTTATTCATTTAACGCTATTCGGCATAAACAGTATTTACTTGAAAAAAAATTATTAAGATTAGATCACAATGATGATAATATTACAAGGAAAATATCACTTGTTATCACACAGAACCACGCGTAAAAGGAAATCATTATAGCAATAAATAATAATAAATTTTAAATTACAGTATCTGATAAAGCATTTAGGCTGCATTCGAAAATACTCTATCCCTAGATACATAATTCAGAAATGACCTTGTATCTTGTAAACTATTGACATTTTTAAAGATATAAGCTCATCCTGATATTATACTCATCAAAACTTTTCATTTGAATACCCACATCGATTTTTCATATATTTATATATATTATATATATGTATATATGAAAAATATATCAAAAATGCATGTGGGTACTCAAATGAAAGTTCTTGATGAGTGTAACATCGGGATGAGCTTACATCTTTAAAAATATCAATAATTAAGAAATGACCTTGTATCTTGTCAACTACTGACATTTTTAACGATATAAGCTCATCTCGATGTTTCACTCATCGAGACCTTTCATTTGAGTATCCACATCAATTTTTCATATATTTATATATATTATATATATGTATATATGAAAAATATATCAAAAATGCATGTGGGTATTCAAATGAAAGCTCTTGATGAGTGTAACATCGGGATGAGCTTATATCTTTAAAAATGTCAATATTTAAGAAAGTAGAGTGCAATTGTATAAAAGTTTTTTATAAACTTACTAATAAAAATTGAAATAAATTTCAGAAACATTACAGCGAATCTAAAGATATTGATACACTATCAAAAGTTCATGGAGAATTAGACGAACTTAAAGATATAATGGTGCGAAATATAGATAATGTTGCTATGAGAGGCGAACGACTGGAGTTACTTGTTAACAAAACTGAAAATTTAACAAATAATGTAAGTAATTAATGATTATTATTTTTCTTTGTTATAAAATATCAATAAGTAACATAATAACACTTATATATTATTTTTTCAGTCTGTGACATTCAGAAAAACAAGCAGAAACCTAGCCCGCTCTTTATTCTGGAAGAATGTTAAAATTTACGTAATAGTTGGCGCTATTTTGATTGTCGTTGTCTACTTTATCGTCTCAATGTTTTGTGGCGGACTAGCTTGGCAGAAATGCGTCGGAAATTAAATAAATTTTTTTATTTTTATTTCTTTTCTTTGAACATTTAAATAAAATAACAGATATATTTATATATTATTATTACTATTAATATTAATAGAGTTTGAAAAAGAAAACAATGAACAAATATAAATATTGAAAATGTATATATACGTGTAACCTATGGCACATTATTCAGGTACTATACAGCCACTTTAATTTTTTACTGTATAAATTTTAACTATTATTTAGATTTATTGTTATAGATGATATTAAATGACTATTATATTATACATGTATTTTAAATTACAAATATAATTAATAATTTTCAATTTATAGCATAAGTTTTTTTTTGTGTTTTCAATTTTAAATTAATTAACATTTAATTTCAAAACAAAAATTGAAGTATTAATATTTTTAATTGAAAAAAAAAAATTCTTTTAAAAATCAAATATGGATTAAAAATTCACTTTAAAAATTTATCTGCTTCATTAAATTAAATTATTTTTTTTTTCCAGGATAAAGTTTAAAAAAATTAAAAAGAACTAAAATTACTAGAGCTTTGATTATTTTTTGTTAAAATAATTATTCAAAAATTTTTTTTCAATTTCTTTTTATTAATTTAATTAAAAAAAAAAAATATATCAAACTAATGTGAAATTTTATACAAAATAAAATTTGGACTTAAATTTTTTATTTTAAAAAATAAATAAACTGAAAAAAAAAATTAAATTGTATCAAAAAGAAAAATTCTTGAATTAAATAAAATTTATTTAAACCAAGAAAAATTTCTTAGTTCAAGAATTTTTCTACTTAAATCAAGAAGATAATATTCTTCAAAATTGATAATTTTGTAATTAATAATTTTTTTCAAAATTATTAATAAAAAAAAAAATTAATTAAAAAAAATTTTTTTTAGTTAATTAAAAAGAAAAAAAATCAGACTAATGTGAAATTCTGTATTAAATAAATAACACTAATAAAAATTGATAATTTTGTAATTAAAAATTTTTTTCAAAATTATTAATAAAAAAAAAAATAATTAAAAATGAATAATTAATTAATAAAAATTTTTTTTAGTTCATAAAAAAGAAGAAAACTAAGTAAAAAGACTTCTCGGGTACAGGACGAAGTTTTACACCCCTGAAACGAGCCCTAAAGCCCTCTCGGCATGGCTCGTAGGATCCTCCACCCTCGCCCTGTTACTAGTAACATAACTAGTTAACGTGTGAGCGTATCAGAGCGCTAGGATCGCGTCTAGTCGGATCCCGGGTGATTCGAGGCTCGCAGAGTGGAGCTCGCACATCGTCGGTCGTCGGGATGTCGATGACTCGCGTGGCGCGCCCTTGTACACTAGGGTGCTCGTGTCTCCCAAGTACAATTGATCGGACCCGTTGGCTGCTGTACTGCTATATACACTGCTTGTAGCTTCTCAAACTCTTATCGCATCGGGCGTGGAGAATTTTACTGGAGCATCCACTCCACCGTCACTCCCTTCCTCCCTAACTTTTTATCTCCTCTCCTCTCCTCTCTCCAATCCTTTCTCCTCTTATCTCATTCTACTCCACTCTATTCCACTATTCCACCCTCTAATCTCCCGTTTACGATAAAAAAAACATTCCTAAAAATTTTATTAAAAATCAACAAGTTACCGGGCCGCTAAAAATTTAGTTTTATTTTTTTTTATCGGAAAATTTTCTAATGTGAAAATTTGTGTGAATACAAATTCAATGGTGTGAATTTTTTAGATAATTAATTTCCTGGCTCAGATAAGAGATACGGAAAAATTCACAAGGAACTTTTTTGTAAAAAAAGTATTCTTGTTATGTGGTTTTTTCGTATCTCCGATATTTAACCCAGAATCAAGGATATAAGTTTTATGTTTAGTTGCTATTTAAAGACCCGGAAAAATAACAATCATTGCATTGGTAGTGGTGACACTACTCGGATAATCTGTAGTTGTGTACAGTAACAATACATAGTAGTTTTACTACCGTTGAATCACTGGGGTGCACACGAGGGTAGTTCTACGTTCTACGTCGTCCTGCATCCGCGTGCTAGAATTTTACGTCACAACAGTCCGAGTTCGCTTAAGATAAACACACTTTTACTTGTTATGATATAAGTTATGATATAAAAATTTTAAAGTATTTTCTGAGGTTCTAGTGGTTTGATGTTTGGTAATGATTGTAAATTGAGGGTGTGTTTTGGTCGGATTGTAAGTATTTAATTTGTTTTTTTATTGTTTTGCGTGAGAAAATTTTATAGGAGTTAGTTTTTATTTGTTGTCTATTTTTTAATTATTTTTTAGGGGATTTATTTGAAACACTTAATTTTTTTTTGAAAATTTAATGAGTTAGTTATAAATTTTTATAAAATAAAAACAATTTTAATTATTACTTTAATTTAATAATAATTATTATCAATTTTAATTATTGAGATTGTACAATGTTTTTTTAAATAATTATTTTTAAAAAACTTTTTTTAGACTAAATTTTGCAAAAAATTTTTTTTTATATTTTATAAAATTTATTAATTTTTTAACTAACTTTTGTGAACAAAAAAAAATTGACTGACACTCTAAAGCGGGCATGTATTTTAAAAATGTCATTTGTTTGACTACTTAATCTTTTGCTAAACAAGTGACAATTTTTTTTTTATAAAAAAATTTTATACAAAAAATAAAATTATTATTTTATTTTTTAATAATAGAGTAATTTTTATTTTTTTTTTTTTAGTTGATAATTAATGAAAATTAAGTTAGCCGACATTTCAGAATTTTTAGAAATTTTTTAATTAAAAAATTAAAAAAAAAAATTTCACATGTAAAAAACTTAAAAAACTATAAGTTCAATTTTTTGTAAATATCTTTTTAGTTGTCATTTAATTAATAAAAAAAAATCAAAAATTTTCAGACGTCTGCTAACTAGTGTCATAATAATTATTATAAAAAAATTGAATAATTATTTTCTTTATTAAAAATAATGAAATTATTTTTTTAAATAATTTTAATAAAAAACAATTATTTTATTTATTAAAAATAGAATTTCATAATTTATCGCTGATTTAAAAATTGACAATACGGAAATAATAAAAATATATACTGTAACAAAAATGAATAAATATTTATCGTGTGTACATATATATCAGCAAGCGGGGGTGGTTTTATGGCGACTGACTGGGCTATTCTGGCTCCAGAACAAGTAGTGAAATATTGCCGGAGTGAAAAAGACTATTTGGGATCCGAGTTTGGAGGGTCAGAGATCCCCAGGAGGATGCAGACAATCTTAGGGTCCTTCCCGCTTAATATTGCCCGTGCCGTAGAATGCTTCGGTAGAATGCTTGCGCTAAACCTTAAATTAATGACAATGAAGCTGCGACAAATGCAATTCGAAATTTCATGAGTCACTTGTGAAGAAAAACACCGAGCACTCGATCACCGGGAGAACTTCTGTGCCGACTAGACGAAATGATAAATAATTCTCCATCCAACCTCGGCCTCTGAAAGGGCTCCGGGAGAGGAGTAAGATTAAGAAACAGAGACATGTGTCTTTAATAATCCATCACCGGATAGGAACCTATTTTTGAATCTTTTCACGTACCTGCTCGGAAGCTGGAAGTGAAGGCTTGCACAGCCCCAATGTGTGCTCTTTAGAATTCCACGGACGGCTCCTGACAATCTGCCGAGGGAGGAACTCAAAAACAGGGATAAAAATATAGACAAAGAAAATAACCGAGGGTAAAAGGGGAAGAAAGAAGAAAAATACAAAAGCCGAGAGAGGCAAGACAAAGGACTTAATAACTCGGGGGTTGAAAGAGATAAAAAACATGGGAGAAAGTTCACCTGATCTGAGTCTTCGGCTTCGCCGCGGAAGCTCCGATTCACGTGACTCTTTTTATATGGATTTTGCACAGGTAATTTTTTTTTAATAACACAATTTATATTATTCTTAAATAAATTGAAAAAAGAAATTAAAATTACTGTTCAATTTTTTTTTTAATTATTGAGTATGATAAAATAGAAATGTAATTTGAACTAGAAACCTTGCAGTCACTATGTGACTACACTTTACTATCTTAAATATTGACGTTTTTAAAGATATAAGCTCATCCCGATGTTACATTCATTAAGAGCTTTCATTTGAGTACCCACATGCATTTTGATATATTTTCATATATACATATATATAATATATATAAATATATGAGAAATTGATGTGGGTACTCAAATGAAAGGTCTTGATGAGTATAATGTCAGAGTGAGCTTACATCTATAAAAATGTCAATAGTTTATAAGATACAAGGTCATTTCTTAATTATTGATATTTTTGAAGATATAAGCTCATCCCGACGTTACATTAATCGAGAGCTTTCATTTGAGTACCCACATGCATTTTGATATATTTTTCATATATACATATATGCAATATATATAAATATATGAAAAATTGATGTGGGTACTCAAATGAAAGGTCTTGATGAGTGTAACATCAGAATGAGCTTATATTTTAAAAAATGTCAATAGTTCACAAGATACAACGTCATTTCTTAATTATGTATCTAGAGATAAAAAATTTTTCTTTTGTTAAATTAATTTTTTATGAATTTAAAAAATGGAAATTTATCAGTTAAATTAACTACTAAAAAATAAAATTTTTTTCAATAGATAAAATGCTAAATAAATTTAAAAAAAAAATTTTTTTCTAAAAAAGGGTATAGACTCAGATATTGAAGAAGTAACAAGACCTAGAGAAAATCACATCGATGAAAACCACCTGGGGGAAGAAGAAATAGAAGAAAATTTTCCGCCATTGGACGATATTTGCACGACGATACCTGAGGAAGCCTCTGAAGAATTGCGAGAAGAAGAGGAGGAAGAAGCAGCTGCCGCGGCGGCAGCAGCAGCCGCCCTGGAGGCCGCTAGGGAAACTTCCGACTCGTCAGTAATTTCCGGCAATGGGAAAATGCAAAAACGAGCCCAAAACCAAAACGAGTGAGTTATCTTTAATTAGCCTTTCCACCAATCTTCGCTTAAATTATTTTTAATTGAAGACCCGACCGTTCTACATTCTACACGCAATTATTTTTTACATTGCCAATAAATTTTTTTTTTAATTGAATTTATATGAATTTTTATTTTTAATTAGCGGACTGACATTGATGGAAAGCTGAGCTGTTTAATGTTTTTATTAGCGGGTGTTACAGGGAATGTAAAGAGAAGCGACGAAACTAAAGCTGTCAAAGCAAATATTTAACTAAAGTAAATGCTTCTGTGTCTACGTCGCTTACAGGAGATTGTATAGGAAATATTTCATCCCCCGGGCATATAGACTGTCATACAACGTTATATATTATACGTGTACGGAAATGTCACCGATGGTGTCGATAGTAATTGTCTCTCCCTCAAACAAACCGCAGGGAAAACCCATCGGGTTGTAATCATCTACAAAATTACATGCGGATATTTAATACTTCCTTTAATCTTTAATCTGTAATTTAAGTATTTTATACTGTTAAAAATCAAGAGTGAATTTCGATCCCAGCACTCGGAGCAAAAAAGTGAGGTTTACACACTTAAATAAATTTTTATTTAGCTGAAATAAATTGAATTTTTATTGGAAATCTAAAACACATTTCTTGTTTCTAAAATAGTCTTTTTTTTAGTTTTTATAAAGTAAAAAATCATTTTTGTACTAATAGATTACCGTGAAATGATTATTTAATCTATTGAATTTTTTTACTCATTTCATTTTATTTTAACTAGCAACCTTGCAGTCACTGTGTGACTTCCGTGATTTATGAACTATAAATTAATAAAATTTTGCTTTATTAAATAATGACTTTATAAATTGCACTGTACTTTCTTAAATATTGACGTTTTTAAAGATATAAGCTCATCCCGATGTTACACTCATCAAGACCTT